AGTGAACTAAGGGTATCAACAAGAAGGATAATAACTTTGACAGTGTTGAAAAAGTTCCTTTTTCCCTAAAAAACTGACCCACTACCATCAACGTATCTGTCCAGAAGCCTGACAAGTCTGACGTCTGATCTCTAAACTTGACGTGTATCTCTGCTGATTAAAAAGCGGGGCCATCAAGTGAGTTTAAGAGTGGCCAGATGCATGCTGCCAGGTCCACACAGCTGTCTGGAGGTGCTGTGGGACGTGGGGAACACTGGCTTGCCTCTCTTTGTGGCAGCCTGTGTTCTCCCAGCCTGAGTTCTGACCCAAGCCTGAGTTCTGCCTGATTCCTGCTTCCTGCTTCACCATCCAGCCAGAGCAGCACTACTATGTTGGTTGGCCCTCCTCTGCTCTGGCTTTCTGGCTTCTCCTTCCCATTTTGGCCTTTTTGTTTGTTTTTTACTGTGGGTAAGAGGGCTTTTTAAGAATTATTATTTTTAATTATTATTTTCCATGATATATTCCCCTTCCTCCCTCCATAGTTTCAGTAGGGAACTTTTTAACACTTGCACTATGCTTTTGGGACAAAGAAATATTGGCTTTGAGAAACAGATGGTGTTGTTTTTGGTAGGCTCCATTTCATACTGTTTGTTATTCTGTTTTCCTTCCTCATGCTTTTACCTTTCACTCTATCTTCTTCAAAGAGGTAGGATTTTATTTTATTTTTAAAATCCCATAGCTTGGGTGAACATGTTATGTATGGAGTGGTTGAGCTGCCACTTGGGAGGCCCACACCCCATATTGAAATGCTTGGGTTTGAGTCTCAGCTCCACTCCCAAGTCCAGCTTCCTGTTAAGGCACTCCTTGGGAGGAGGCAGATGATGGATTAAGTACTTGGGTCTCCACCATCCATGTGGGAGACCTGTACTTAATTCCTGGCCCCTTGTGGTCAATTGGAGAGTGAATCAGTGTGGGGGAGGTCTGTCTTTCTTTTTCTTCCTCCCCCCCCTTTTTCTCTCTACCTCTCAAGTAAGTAAAAAAATTAAATTCCATGGCTTTAAAAATTTATGTTTGATAAAAAATAAATATATAAGTAAAAACATGATTTATAATCCCAACCACCATGGTTTAAACCACAGTTAAAATGGAGGTATGTATCCTTAGTAAAATGTTTAATTTTTTAAAAATTGAAATTGTATTGAGAGGTGATGTTTTCTGTGATATATGGTCTTGAATTCTGATACAATGATCTACTTGGCTGGATAATCTTGAGTGAGTTCCTCAACCTATCTGTGTTTGAGTTTCCTTAGGTTTATAATGGGACTTCTAACAGTAACTGTTCCCCATGATTGTGGGAAAATATAAATGAATTATATTTGGTAAACACCAGAAAAAGTAGCAGAAATATATTAACTGCTCAAAAACTGCTAGTGAACAATTGTATTTTTATTATATGAATACTCTTTTGTAACTGGATTAAGAAAATACATTCTGTATATTTTCTTGCATTACTTATGACTAATACATGACTTTATTGCCTGACCCAAAATCTATTATGTGAGCAATTCATTTAATTGGTGTTCCATTGTTGGACATTTATTGTTTTCAGTGTTTTGCATAGTAATAAATAATCCTCTAGTGAATGTTCCTGGGCATAAATCTGTTTCCTAAGGCAAGTTCACAGCAGTTGAATGCTAAATCAAAGAGCACCAACCCTTCTTAGGATTTTGCCAAACCGCCCTCCAGAAACATCATGTGATTTTGTGCTTTTAATCTGTGAAGCTTGGCTTTCCCCACTGCCCTCCCAGCTCTGAGTGTTAGGATTTTAAAAATTCTTTGCCAGTCTGTGATTTTCATCTTCACAAACTACCTGATGCTTTCCATTCCTTTTGAATTGCTTTGCCTCCTTATTTATTTAGTGAAAGACAGAGAGAGAGACAGACACAGAGAGAGAGACAGACAAACAATTAATCTTTCATCAGCTGAGTCAGCCCCCAGATGCTCACCAAAGCCAGAGGTGGGGTAGATCCAGTGTATTAGCATACTAGTAGGAAGTTAGAATAGGAAATAGAACAGGGACTTCAACCCAGGGATTCCACTGTTTGATGCAGCTGTCCCAAACAGTGACCTGACTGCTGTTACTAAATTCTTGCCCCTCTCTTTTAATCTATACCCCCTAGTTTTAAAGGCCTATCCTGTTACTATTACAAACATTTCCTTTCTGGTTCGATGCCATTTCACTTCCCATACCCTTAGACTATGGCATCTGTTTTATACAAATTTGAGCTAATAATCTAATGGGTGGAACCAAGGGAAGAGAAGAACTTATTTTCATGGAAACTAAAGCAAACCAAAAACGAAGCTGTCCTAAAAAAATGGACTCATCTACTATATAAACAAGTAAGATTCCCCTTTGTCCAAAGCCTGTAGGCACCTAGACAAGTATCTGAGAATTGTGGAAGATACTCCTACGCTGAGCAGGAAGTTAACTTACCTATCAGTCAGTGTCCAGCAGGAAAACAAAAACCACTCTACATGTTGAAACAAAGAAGGTATTTAGAGAATTGGTTACACTGGGGATTGGCATATTCAGGCACCAGAGGGTGAAGCAACACTGAGATCTATAACACTGGGGAGCTGGAGTCTCCCATGAGGACAGAGGGAGGATTCGGGGGACACACTGGGCCTGTCTGTGGGGACCTGAACCTCAGAAGAAAGGTGGATGCACTTGTCACTTGCAGCAGAGTGAGAAGGGGAAACATTCTGGTTTTCCCCCTTTCCTTCTCCACTCTCCCCAGAGGTCCCATTGATGAATTCAGTCTCAAGGTAGTTGGCACACAGATTTGTGGAATTATATGTAGCTGTGGTTAGCCCCATTAGCGAGCACAGGAAGGCTCTGAGAGCTGACAGGCTGAGATCAGTCAGAGTGATCTGGAGCCATTAGAACTACTTCCAAGTCCAACAACAATAAGGTAAAATGCAAGGAATGCTAGATTCCAGGTTTGAATCCTGGCATTTACCAGCTTTTTGGCCTAGGGCAAGTCACTTAGCACCTCTGTTTCTGCAGAAGGGGCAAACAACAAACAAACAAACCTATTTTAAGCCAGAGCTATTTATGCTTCTAGAAAGGCAGTGGAAGGTATTGCAAATGCTTGGGCCCCTGCAACCATCTGGAAGATCTAGCGTCAGCCTAGCCCAGCCCTGGCGTTTGAGCACAACAGCAGGGACTGTGCCAGGCTGAAGCTAGGAGCCAGGAGATTCTTCTGGATGGCCCCAAGGACTTAGTCTATCTTCATTGCTTTTCTAGGAAACGTTAGTAGGAACCTGGATCAAGAGTGGAGTAGCCGGGACTTGAGCCAGCACCTATGTGGGATGCTAGCAACACAGACAGCATCTTAATGTGTTGTGCCACACGAGTGGTCCTGAATTAAAAAACAAAAAAGAATATTTGATTTTTAAGACAAAAGACAATTTGGCATTTTGTTGTGGTCTCAAGTGTCTCTATTTTGAAATGTGGAAACCTTTGCCTAGGGTGAGAGTAGATGATAAATTTCTCCATAATAATACTGGAATACAATTTAAGAAGCATGGAGGAGCAAGTGTATGATCCATTGCTTAAATTAGTGCTTCTGATGTCAGCATTTCATATTAGAGTCTTTTAGTTCGAGTCCTGTCTACCCCACTTTCAGTCTGGTTTCCTGCTAATGTTCACCCTAGAAGGTAAAATATGGTGCCTCACGTACTTGGGTCCCTGACACCCACATGAAAAATCCATGTGGAGTTCTGTTTGCCTGTCTTCAACCTGGTCTAGCCTTAGCTGTTGTAGGCATTTGGGATGTGGAACAGTGGATGGTAGATCTCTCTCCATTTATATCTCTGTTTTTGCTTTTCCAATAAAAGGAAAAGAAATAGTTTAAAATGTCTATAAAAATAAAGAAACATTGGAAGTATCCTGTAGGATTAGTTCATTTATTCTATAGACATACATGTATACCCACTATTTTCTGGCAATGATTTAGACATGCTCCCTGCCCTGAAGGTGATGTTATTCCATTGTGAAAAACAGATGATTGAAGAACTAAATCTGAATGCATGATGACATGGAACTGGCGCAGAGGAGGGAACTTGGGAAATGCAGAAAGTTTCAATGAGGAGATGATGTTTGAGCTGTGTTTTGAAGGGTGAACAAGAGTTTGACAACCATATGAAGTTATGAAAGAGGATGGTCAGGAAAGGGTGTGGGATATCAGGGAATGAACTAGTCACATGCAAAAAGCTGAAGGAGTCCATGGTTGAAGTGGTGTTGGCAACAGTGGCACACGTGACTAGATGTGGAGGAGAAAGCCACTGTATGAATGGCTGGGGGTCAGAAGCTTGTGGCTTTATCCTGGGCAGAATGAATAGGCAGCAGACAGTTTCAAACTAGGGAATGACTTTCCATCTCTAACCTAGATTTAGAGTGACCTATCTTCTTAGATGGTCTTATGGCCTTTGGGGAAGCTAGGACATGCGGTTACACTAAGTGGCAGTGGGAGGGATCCCATGAGGCACAAGGAAGCGTGAGTCAGAAAAACGAACACAGGAGTTTGTCCTTTGCATTAAATTCAGAGTGGGAAAAGTCATTAGCTTATCCTGCAGACATTGACTGTCTTGAGGTAAATATTTAAAATGATGTCTCCCTCCTCACCACAAAGCCAAGACCACCAGAGGTGCATGGTGATGTTTGCGGCTGGGAGGCAGGATTTCAGGGTTTTGAGGAAATGTTTGCTGGCCTAAATCTGTCTGGAGACTGAAGGAAAAACACAAGGTGGTGATGACCCAGTGCTTGATGCTTTTCAGTGCCCCTTGACATTCACTGTCTCATTTAATCCTGGTGACAAGGGTGTGTGGCATATATGGCCAAAAGAAGGACCCTGTGGAAGAAATAGAGGGCTAGGTCTAACAAGTTGTACCCAAGCCACAAGTGGATGTGCAGACACGGGCCCATGCTTCCTCCAAACCCGAGACCCTGCTCTGCTTACCTGCTTTCTTCCATATGCCAGGATGGCCTCTTTGAGGTCGTGGAGTGTGTGCAGTTCAAGATCAGGCCTCTTCCTGGGGCCTTTGGGGTGGGAGAGTCCTCTGCTCCTCCTGTTGCGTGTCCATGCTGACAGGGCCAACCCTTCTGAATAGAGGATCAAGGCCCCCTTCCTAGTGCTGAATGTTTTAGGAAGAAAGAGGCTCCAGCAGTGCTGGTTGGCATGGTCCTCATCCTGAGGTCTGCTGGCCAGGACATAGTCTTCTGGGGATTTCCAATTCAAGTAATCCTGTAAGGAGGAGACACCACTTGGACTGAGCCCCCACAGGAGACTCTGCCAGAGCAAAGTCTGCTTGTGCGAAGTGTTGGATGCCTTTTTTTTTTTTCTAGCTCCTGGTTTTTTCTGAGTTGTTCACAAGGTGTGATGGAACATAACGGCTCTACTCAAGCAGTTAACTTTTGTCTCCACATCTCAAAATTCATAGAACCCAGGGCACAGTTCCATTTGGCTGCTTACAGCTTTCTGGAGAGCCATTCGTGCCTGAGGTTCAGCTGGGGTGGAGTGGGGTTACAGGCCAGTTAAAGTGTGCTGGTATGCAAGTAAGTAATCAGAATTATCAAGGGCAGCTGATAACTTTGAAATTAGACCCGAACTAGCTGGCAGTTTAAATAGAGGGAAACTATTCCAGCCCACCACGACTTTAGCTGAACACAGGGAGAATTTCTATACATTCCACATGCTATGTTACATTACCTAATTTGGCTATTTGTGAGCCTATAAAGTAACTACATTTCTTATAAGTAAGTAAATGCCTTTGGCCAGAGAGAACGCCTTTGAAACTTTATATATCTTTTAACACAGAAAAGGTCAAATAACACTACAAACTACCATGACAATGGAAATCTCTGTATGACCCCCAAATTTGCAAAATACCCCCAATGGATTTCTTATTCCTGGCAGGAGTCAAAGAAATAAAATTCCAGTACAACAAGGTAATTTTGCCACCTCTTTAAAATCTTCTAGAATGAGATTTTCTTTGGCCTGTATAAAATATGAGTCCTGTGGGTTGAATTCCAGAAAGTTCAAGGAAGCCATCGAAATGGCATGAACACACACAGCATTTCAACCACAGAACACGATTTCAGCAAGCCAAACAGCCATTTGCTTGCCCAGAACCCAGGTGGGAATTCTGGTCTTGAACCAAACCGTCCCAATTCCAGATGATCTGAAGTCTCCTTCTGTCCCAACAGAGGTCCACAGAAGTTAGCAACCAGAGAAAGAAAGAAGGTAGGTGGCAATTTCATGAAAGAGGACAGAAAAGCTACGAGAGAGCCTTGTTGCTCCCTAACAGCACAAACCAAGACACACAGGCTGATCCCCAAGTGGGAAAAAAACAGATGATTCCCACACCCCCACCCACAAAGCGTGCCTTTAGTCAGCTGTAAGACTCACCTCCGGTTCCAAGTAGACTTCTAGCTTCTGTTTGTTCTGGACCAACTTCCCATGTCCCCGGCTCAGGAGGGAGAGCGGCAACATGCTTCGCCTGCGACCACCCCTTGTCAAGGATACTTCATCTTGGTCCTGACAGCTGAACACTGGTCACACCTCAAGGTTTCCACAACTCAGCAGCAAGCTCGAGGAGACCACAAACACTGGGCCTTTTTTATGGAAGACATCCCCCTCCTGTCCCCTGACACACACACATACACACATACTCACCTGACAGCAATTTCTGAAAAACAACCAGCCTCACAACTTAGACAGTGTGGATCTTTGTGGAGAGAAAACAGAAACCACATCCCTGGCCTCCCTGAGCTCCACAGAGGCTGCTCTGGGGCGGCTTCTCACTCCCCACCCATGGGCCCCTGTTGTTCCTGGGCACTGGTTGCTCTGCTACGGGGCCGCGTGCGTCTACAGATCCGGTGCCACAGCACCAACCTCTTCATTGTGAGAGGTGGTTGTTTCCTGGTTGCTATGGCAGCCCAGGGCCACCAAGGCCTGCAACCCAGCCAAAGCCAAGCCAAAGCAGCCAGGGGTGTGGGAGTGCGGCCTAAGGGACACTGCTGAAGGGACTAGGCTCCTATTGCAAGTCCTGGTCGTGGGGGCTGTTGGCAGGAGGAAGCGGGTTTGTTCTGTTCTTGTGCTCATCTTGCTTTTAGAATGCCTTGCCTTCTCTATTGTCATTGCCAGCTAGCTGTGAACATCATGTGGGTCACCTCAGATCTCCTGTGGTATCTCCCTCAGCTGGGCATTCCCAGCTTCACCCCCACTGGTCTAGACAAGTCTTTAGTAATGCTTCATTATGTCATTGTTGCTTTACCTGAGTTGAGATCTCCAGTTCTCTTTGGTTCTCTATTGGGCAGCTCTCATCCCTGATTTGTGGGGGAAGGGAGAAAGCTTAGGGGAGGGCACCTTGGAAGTATAGGTGGGTGGTGTTTGGGTTGTTAGAATTTAAGCTGTCCTCTAATGGAGGCCCAGGCTGCTAAATGTAATTCATGATATCATCCTCTGTGTTGTCTACTGCTGTGGCCTAGGCTCTGTGGTCCTCTTTGATGTAGACACTGTGAGAGGCACAGGGAAGAAGGTCAGTGATCCCAGAACCCTCCTTTGACCTGGAAAAGCAAACTCCCAATTTCACCTACCATGGCAGCCTCATGAGAGTGCCCCCTTTTGGCCCCTGTGAGGAAATACATAGCTGCTTATAGATCCATTTGCTGAGGGGCAGGCTCAACCACTGAGGAAGGATAGAGATCACGCTGTAAAATGACATTGCATTTGTTGTGGGAAATCCACACAGAAAATGCAGAGGCCCCATGAGATACTGCTTCCCAACAGTGAAGATGGCTAACAGGAAACCCAAGTGTCACTGAGAATGTGAAGGAATGGGAGCCCTTGGGCACTCTAGGCAGGGTTGTAAAGTTGTGGAGCCTCCTTAGCACATGTATGGCAGTTGCTGAAAAATTAGGCATAGAGTTGTATGATCCGGTTGTTCTGCTTCTGACTGTTGTCCAGAAAGAAGGGAAAGCAGAGGACCCAGCACAGTAGCTGAGTGGCTGAAGTCTTCGCCTTGCGTGTGACAGGATCCCATATGGACACAAGTTTGTGTCCAGATGTTCCACTTCCCATCCAGCTTCCTGCTTGTGGCCTGGGAAAGCAGTGGAGGATGGCCCAAAGCCTTGGGACCCTGCACCGGTGTGAGAGACCTGAAAAAAGGCTCCAGGCTCCTGGCTTTGAATTGACTGGCTCAATTCTGGCCATTACAGCCACTTGGGGAGTGAACTAGTGGACGAAAGATCTTTCTGTATCTCCTTCTCTCTGCAAATCTGACTTTCCAATAAAAATAGATGTCTAGTAGCACATCACTCGCAAGAGCTAAGATGTGAAAGCAACATGCAAATCCGCTGACAAATGAGTAGAATGTACCTGCCTCTGATAGAATATCATTCAGCTTGAAGAGTAGAAGGGAATTCAGACAGGTGTTCTAGCATGGCTGAACCTTGAAGTCAGTATGCTCAGAGAAATAAGCCAGGCACAAAAGGACAGATACTATGTGATTCCACTTATGTGAGGTACTTTAAGAAGCCGAATTCATCAAGAGAGAAAGCAGATTGCTGGTTGCCAGGGACTGGGGGCAGGACATGTTTGACAGTGTTTAATTGGTGGGAGTTTTGATATGGGAAGATGAACAAGTTTGAGAGATGGATTCACAACAATGTAGATGCACTTAATGCCAATTAAACTGTGACCTTGAAATGATTAAAATGGGATTTTGAAAAATATGTGAAAGGCAGAGTGACAGGAAAGAGATCTTTCGTCTGCTGGTTCACTCTCCCAAATGGCTGCAACAGTTAGGGCTGGGCCAGGCTGAAGCCAGGAGGCCTGAACTCCATCCAGGTTTCCCCTGTGGGTGGTAGAAACTCAAGCCCTCAAGCCATCATCTGCTGCTTCCCAGGCGCATTGGCAAGAAACTGGATTAAAAGCAGAATACCTGGGACTCAAAAATTGGCACTCCAATTATGGGTTGCAGGGGTCACAAGCAGTGGCTTAATCTGCTGACTGCAATGCCTACCACTAAAACAGTAACTTTACACACACACACACACACCCCATCCAGGAAACATTTCCACAAATATATAGCAAAAAACTAAATTTAGTACTTCAGAACCACAGCATTATCATGGAATGACTTCCTCACAGCAGATGAGACCAAATTCCATAAATGTATAGTCCAAATCATTTTCCAGGGTCTTCTGATATGGTCACCATGGATCATATGGACATAGATGGGAAGAGAGAGACAGGTGTGTTGGTCAAGACCCCAGAGATCACATCTCCCCTGTTGAAACATCAAGGATGTTCCTCTTCAGGAGGGATCTTTTAAGCAGAACAGGGATGGGCCCGGCGCGGTGGCGCAAGTGGTTAGGTCCTCGCCTTGCACGCCCTGGGATCCCATATGGGCGCCGGTTCTAATCCCGGCAGCCCCACTTCCCTTCCAGCTCCCTGCCTGTGGCCTGGGAAAGCAGCTGAGGACGGCCCAAAGCTTTGGGACCCTGCACCCATGTGGGAGACCCGGAAGAGGCTCCTGGCTTCGGATCGGCATAGTATCGGCCCGTTGCGGCTCACTTGGGGAGTGAATCATCGGACGGAAGATCTTCCTCTCTGTATCTCCTCTCTGTATATCCGCCTTTCCAATAAAAAATAATAAAAATAAATCTTTAAAAAAATAAAAAATAAATAAATAAAAAAAATAAGCAGAACAGGGATGAAATTCTAGATAGTTGTTTAAAGGGATTTTTATGTTTTTAAGATTTATTTTTATTGAAATGGCTGATTTACAAAGACAGAGAGATTGAGAAAGAAAGAAAGAGAGAGAGAGAGAAAAATCTTCCATCTATTTTTTCACTCCCCAAAAGAACTCAATGGCCAGAGCTGAGCCAATTCAAAACCAGAAACTTTGTCTGAGTCTCCCATGCAGGTTGAGGGAGCCCAAGGTCTTGAACCATCCTTTGCTGCTTTCCCAGCCCATTAGTAGGGAGCTGGATCAGAAGTGGAGCAACTGGGACATGAATCAGTGCCCATATAGGATGCCAGTGCTGAATATGGAGAATTTAACCTTGCTATACCACCACATTAGCCCCTCCAGGTTGGAAGCTGATGGATGTGGGATAGGTAAGATGCTCATCTCAAAACCTCAGGGTAAACTCCCTGGATTTTCAACTTGGGCCAGACTTGAACCAGTTTGTCAAATGGATTAAATATAATAATTTGCGAAGTGGGCTTTGAGTGAGAATATAAGTGAAAACTCCACACCATCTACAAGGAGGTATAAATATTGCCATTTTGAAAATGCCACTGCTCAATAAAAAAAAAAAAAAAGGGCCCGGCGCGGTGGCGCAAGTGGTTAAGGTCCTCGCCTTGAACGCCCGGGATTCCATATGGGCGCCGGTTCTAGTCCTGGCAGCCCCGCTTCCCTTCCAGCTCCCTGCCTGTGGCCTGGGAAAGCAGTCGAGGACGGCCCAAAGCTTTGGGACCCTGCACCCGCGTGGGAGACCCGGAAGAGGCTCCTGGCTTTGGACCGGCATAGCATCGGCCCGTTGCGCTCATTTGGGAAGTGAATCATCGGACGGACGGAAGATCTTCCTCTCTGTCTCTCCTCTCTGTATATCCGCCTTTCCAATACGAAAATAATAAAAATAAATCTTTTAAAAAAATAATAATAAAAAAATGCCACTGCTCAGAGTGGTTAAGATCCTGCCCAAAGGATAAGTGTTACTGTGTAATAGGCTGAACCACTTGAGACACCTGTTTCCCTTAGTGGATTCCCTAGGATGCAGTCTCAGAACCCCTGCTTCTGATCCAGCTTCCTGCTAATATGCACCCTGGGAGGCAGTGGATGATGACTCAAGCACTTGGATCCCTACCATCCATGTGGGAGACTCAGATTGAGTTCTGTGGCTTTGGCATGGCTCAGCCCTAGCTGTGATATGCAACTGGGGAGTGGACCAGATGATAGGAGATCTGTCTTTGTCTCTATGCCTTTCAAATAAAATGAACATTAAAAAGTTTTTTTTTTCTTTAAAAAAAAAGAAGGAAAGAAGAAAGAAGAGAGGGAGACAGAAAGAAGATGGTGCTTAAGAAAGTAAAGCAGCCTAAGAACTTGATGAAGTGACTGGATCTGAATGAGAACCATTAGCTGAGGAATGACTCCAGTGTCCTGGCTGGAAATTCTTTCCCTGAGTTCACTTGACTTTGAAATGTTAACTTTCCCATAAGTGAGGAAGCAGGGCTCCAGGAAGTGATCATTCTAAGTGAGCATCTCTCCTGGGAAAATACCCGGGCATCCCTCTGAACCTCCCAAGGCTGTGGCCAGGCTACCCAGCCTCTGTGGGGTTGTAATCTCTGGACAGCCATCGTGTTTACATCCTTGCTGTTTAATACAGACAATGAACAGATCCACAGATCAATTAATAGACATTTAAAAGCATTTACTCAGTCTCCACAACAGTTTATGGAAAGTGCATTTAGAAAGCAATCGA